TATTTAATAAGAGGCTAATTAATACGAGGCATACGATAATTAATAAAAGGCATAAAATAATACTTAAGAGGCATACGAAATAAATAAGTAATTGACAATGGGAGGGAAAAAATTAACCCGAAACAAAATAAAAAATAAAACTCCCGCAGGACAAACAAATGACACCTCACTTATGAAACAATACACTGTACACGTGACCCGCCAAAATAACACACACACACACACACACACACACACACACACACACACACACACACACACACACACACACACACACACGTAACAACATATACATTATTTCAACATATGAGATAATACAAACAAAAACTAACATTGCAAATACACAAGAAATGTCAAGACACTACAAAAAAAAAATACAATAAACAAGTCTTTCAACGCAGGAAGACACGTGAGAAAGCGCGCCAAAATCCTCGTCAGCTGGGTAGGCACGTGATCCCGATCAGCTGAGCTATGTAAACAGACTCCTGCGGTTGGTGAGCGGGTTCCGACTACATGCTTGCTCTCTGTTTCAACCACATTCAACTCGAGTAACCTGGGACTTTCAAGTGCGCATTGTAGGAATATTAAGTTAAAAGTGATGTAGTGAGATAAAACAATGGAATTAGTTTTACGTCAGCCATGTTTCCTGCAAGTACGTCTTACACACTTGTCACTATCAGCACCGACAGACTTTGAACACAACAAACAAGATCTATCTGACCTTATCACTGTCCCCCATACATACAGACAAGACATGACATTACGAGTTTCATCAACAGTACCAAAGGGAAGAGTTACGGGGGCGTCAGACTGAGGAACGGTAGAGCCGAGACCCCCTTTACCTCTCACCAGACCACCAACACTTGTAGGTCATGGGAGGGGGTGGTAGTGGGAGGGGGTGGTAGTGGGAGGGGGTGGTGGTGGGAGGGGGTGGTGGTGGGAGGGGGTGGGGAGGTGGGTGGTGGGAGGGGGGTGGTGGTGGAGGTGTGGGAGGGGTGGTGTGGTGGTGGAGGTGGTAGTCTCAGTTATAATCCCAGGTTACTGCTGTTATGCCTGGTAAGTGACGGCAGTGTGTGAAGGTGTGTGTGTGTGTTTCAATACTCACTGAACCTAACCCAACTAGACTAATCTATTATCCCAGGCTAGAAGAGAGTTCCCACCACCACCAGCCAGCGCACCACCCAAGTTTATGCAAGGAGGGAAGTTACGAACCCAATCCTCCTCTACTCGGTCGGGATTCGAACCCACGGGGACCATTGGTGTGAGAGGAGAGTATTCTACTAACTGAACCACGGGGAGGGATTAATATTACCAGAGAGAGATGATAAATATATTAGTGTTGAATGTGTACTAAACAATCATCATGCCAGTGTTGATGTGTGGAGCAGAGGGAGGAGAAGGAGGGGGAGGAGGAAGAGGAGGAGGAGGAGGAGAAGGAGAAGGAAGAGGAGGAGGAAGAGAAGGAAGGAAGAAGAGGAGGAGGAAGAGGATGAGAAGGAAGAAGAGGAGGAGGAGGAAGAAGAGGAGGAGGAGGAAGAAGAGGAGGAGGAGAAGGAAGAAGAGGAGGAGGAGGAGGAGGAAGAGAAGAAGGAGGAAGAGGAGGAAGAGAAGAAGGAAGATGAAAAGGAAGATGAGGAGAAGGAAGAAGAGGAGAAGGAAGAAGAGGAAAAGGAAGAAGAGGAAAAGGAAGATGAGGAGGAGAAGGAAGAAGAGGAGGAAGAGGAGAAAATGCAGGCGATAACTCAAACCAGGACGTTGTGACATCCTGGCCAAGTCACCCGGACACACACACACACACACACACACACACACACACTTGGTTGGATCTTACACACAAACACTCGCACTTCCATATTATAACATACTTCAACCTAACCTAACCCAGACCGCCAGCGTGGGAGACAAAGAGCATTGACCCCTGACCACCCAACCCCACAACAACAAACAATAACAAACAACAACAAACAATAACAAACAACAAACAACAACAAACAATAACAAACAACAAACAATAACAAACAATAACAAACAATAACAAACAACAAACAACAACAAACAATAACAAACAATAACAAACAACAACAAACAATAACAAACAACAACAACCACCAACAAACACCAACAAACAAACAATAAACAATAACAAACAACAACCACCAACAAACAATAACAAACAACAAACAACAACAAACAATAACAAACAAACAATAACAAACAACCACCAACAAACACCAACAAACAAACAATAACAAACAACCACCAACAAACACCAACAAACAAACAATAACAAACAACAACCACCAACAAACACCAACAAACAAACAATAACAAACAACAACAAACAATAACAAACAATAACAAACAACAACAAACAATAACAAACAACAACAAACAATAACAAACAACAACAAACAATAACAAACAAACAACAACAAACAATAACAAACAACAAACAACAACAAACAACAACAACAACAACAACAACCACCAACAAACACCAGGGCTCTTCCATCATCAACGACAAAGAGACCACACCAAGAACTGTCGACCAAATAGCGTAAAAAAAAAAGATTTAAATACGTCATTGTATAAAAAAAAAACCATATTTATATAATAATTATTTAGTAAAGCCGTGAGACAGGATGGAAGAGAAAGACAGATGTGGTTTATCAGAGAACTCGCTTTGTGTCAGGTGGCGTTGTGCTGTGCTTGTCTAATCACCTGCCACGCACGCACACACACACGCACACACACACACACATAAATACATACATACTGTACATACACACACGCTGATCCAGGAGAGGTACACATATGTCGCAGTTGGCAGTCGATTGCTGAGGGGTCGACAACCTGCCTACTTTATCTACCGTGTGTGTGTGTGTAATTGACTAGTGACCCTTTAGTTTAGCGTCAACACCCACTGGTACGCCGTCATTAATCAATCATCATCACTGTCACCATCAGTCATTATCACCACCACCACCATTCTCTCCCCTAATTCAACCTTACAAAATTTACACCATCAGTTTCATCTTCACTATCACCACCACACTATAACCACCATTACTTCACAATCTTATGATCATTATTGCACTAGACTCATTCACTATTAACATCGCTACCACTAGTAATTTTTATCGTTTCCAACCACCCCTGACACCACTACACGTAAGAGCGTCCGTACAACTGCCTCTCTCTCTCTCTCTCTCTCTCTCTCTCTCCACACACACACACACACCTTGCAAATCCAAATGGGCGCAATGAAACTAGGAGACCTGACCTGAAATTTACTTAACCTGGAAAACGACTTGGGGAGGGGAGAAGGGGGAGGAGAGGGGGAGGGGAGAGAGGGGAAGGGGAGAGAGGGGAGGAGAGAGGGGAGAGAGGGGAGGGACAGAGGGGGAGGGAGGGGAGGGAGAGAGAGGGGAGGAGAGAGGGGAGAGGAGAGAGAGGGGGGAGAGGAGAAAGGGGAGAGGAGAAAGAGGGGAGAGAAAGAGGGGAGAGGGAGAGGAGAGGGGAGAGGGGAGAGGAGAGGAGAGGGGGGAGAGGAGAGAGGGGAGAGGAGAGAGAGGGGGAGGGAGAGAGGGAGGGGAGGGAGAGAGGGGAGGGGAGGGAGAGAGGAGGGGGAGAGAGAGGAGGGAGGGAGAGAGAGGGAGGGAGGGGAGAAATTGAGGGGGAGGGGAAACTGAGGAGGGGAGGGGAGGCATTGTTTCCCCAAACTCCCCCTGAGGTTGTGTCTTGCGGCCAAGCTTCCTGGGTGAGTGACTGACTGACCGACCCCGCCCCGCCCAGCAGACAGACCCCAGGCCATCCAGACCATTATAGTTCAAGTTGGTCAGGAAACATTTGGAGAAAACTTGTGCTTGTGAGACCTCACTTCGATTACGTGGTTCAGTTCTGGTCACCGTACTACAGAATGGATATAGAATCCCTAGAAATAATTCAGAGGAGAATGACAAGACTAATCCCGGGCATGCGGAACCTTGAGTACAGAGACAGGTTAAAGCATCTTAATTAGCACTCCCACGAGAGGCGTAGAGTGAGGGGCGACCTGATAGAGGTGTATAAATGTAAGTCAGGGTTAAACAAAGGTGATAATTATAACAGAGGTACTCAAACTATACAACCAAGAGAAAAACCGTAGCAATGGTTTTAAATTAGCCAATTTTAGATTTAGGCGCGAAACAGGTAAACACTACACTGGTTTGGAAATAGAGTAGTGGATGAGTGGAACAAGTTACCAAACATCATCATTAAATAGAACACGATGGATAGCTTTAAATATAGGTTGGACGGATATATGAGCAATAGGGGTTGGGCGTAAACGGGACTGTCCAGTATGGACCAATAAGCCCGCTGCAGTTTCCTCCATTCTTATCGTTGTTTCCTCATGTTTACAGATATCAAGTTAAAAGGTATGCGTGTACGATAGCCCTTTACGACTTCTCAATGAACGAGTATTACATAGTGTACTCAGTAGTCTACCTATCCTCCCCCCCTCCCCATGTGTAAGGCAATTATGACATACCTCTCGTGTCTACCTCCCCACGTCTCGGGATCTGAGTTAAAAGATCGTGTCACTATACAGTATATATATATATATACATATATATGAATGAGAGAGAGAGAGAGAAAGAGAGAGAAAGAGAGAGAGAGAGAGAGAGAGAGAGAGAGAGAGAGAGAGAGAGAGAGAGAGAGACTCGTTAAAGAATGCGGAAGGTTCTTTATATCAGGCAGGTGGGTGTGGCTTAAATGTGGATGGATGGATGGGTGTGTGAGGCTTAATTTTTGTGTGGGTGGGTATGGCTTGATGTTGGTGTAATGGTGTGACTTTGTTGTGTGGGTTGGTGTTTATTGATGTGTGGGTATGGGTCAGTGTGGGTTCTTATTGATGCGAGTGGGCCGACGAGCGATTGGATGTGTACACTTGCGTCATCCAGCGTTGTGCCTGTGGCGTGGAAACTCAGGGTAACTGTGTGTGTGTGTGAGGTACTCACGCTATTCGGTCGACAGCAGCCTCGTCGTCGTCAGTGTGTCTGGGTGGGGGCAGGTTAGCAGCTTCCCGACGGCGGTACCGCAGCACCACCACGTGTGACGCTACCGACAACAGCAGCAGCAGCACCAGGAACAGCTGTAACAACAACAACAAACACATCGTTAACAGCTGTAATAACAAGCACGCCGGTAACAGCACATATCAAACAATCAAACAAATAACAAACAAAAATAAACACATCTAACACACACACATCCCCTAACACCGAGCCACCGCCAGAACACACAAAAGGCCTCGGGGCAAGAAAGAAAGAAACCACAAATAAAAAAAAACCCAACACTTGCCAAGGGGTAAAGTTGCTTCCTGCTCTGTCCACACACACACACACACACTTCCTTACCCCATCACCATCATCACCACCATCACCATCATCACCATCACGCAGGAGAGAAAGTCAGATATCGTAATTACCCCACTATCTAAACATCATCATTATCTCTCATCATCAGAATAAACAATACGAAAGAAAAATGGCCAATTGCAAGAACAGTCATTGGGTGTACGACGCCATTTACGATGACCTTCTTGCCCTGGTCTTTTTTCAGCAATATCGCCTTTAACACGTGGACTTCTGCACTTTTCGAAGCTTTGGAAGATTCTCGAAACAAGTTTCCTTGTGGGAATTATTAGCCAGTGCTGTACTCAAAATAACGAAACTTCGAGATCTCTCCAGAGCTTCAAAAGGGTGGTATAACTGAAACAAGATCAGGGCAAGGTCATCGTAAATGGCGTCGTACACCCAACGACTGTTCTTGCAATTGGCCCAAAGTGGGAACAAAAATATAGTGTTGAGGATCGAAGGTGTCGTTTATATTACGGCGACGAGACATTGTTTACATCCTAGGAATTAAAGAGCCCAGGACAAAACGCCACACCACCACCACCACAAAACTATGGCCAAAACTAATGGGGAATACCAACCAGGCTAGTAATAGGAGGAAGGGGACGCAAATCGATGACACATATTGACGCTGGTGTCTCTCTACCAGCCATACTGCTATACTTGCTGGTAGACTGACCCATGGGTGAGATACAGGGTTGTCGCGCGAGAGGGCTAGTTTATTGGACACACACACCCCCCTTGTACCCTGTGGAAAGCGAAGCGCAAAAGCATTTACAGCGGCCAACAGGGAAAGCATGTGGAGTTCATGCTTGCCGTCTTGATACATGCAATTTAGGAAGCAAGTGCCTGAAGGGCCATGGATTATGTCGGCAAGTGGAGGTGGAGGGGGCGGGGGGAGATTCCTTACACAATCTGGTTATGGTGTGTGTGTAGTGCGTCGAGGTAGGAGGTCAGGCCATAATCCCCTCAAGTCAATCAAGCCAGAGTCCCTCCCGTATATTATATTTCCCCTACACAACGTAAACAAACATCAGCTGATCCTCAAGTAATAACAACGCCAGAGTGCCAGTTGTATCATGACCGACGTGAATCAGTGAAATACTTCCTCGACTTCTTCAGTTAGCGACAGGAGCCTTCGGGAATCCAAATGTGTGTCGTCAGTATCTACAGGTGGTGATGGGAAAGGGGGTGTAGAAGGGGGTTTAACGTAGAAACTTTGAGGATCCATTTATTTATCGTAGCTATTATGTAATGAGTCAGTCAGTCAGTCAGATGAGTCCTCGACATTAATAGTTTAGGGCAAAAATTAACAGGAACCAGTGAGTCAGTCAGAGTCCTCAACATCACCAGTCACTATCAATCTGAGTGTCACATCCCAGGGTGAGTCAGGAAGATGTGCTCAGCTCTCAACACCTCCAGTTAAGAGAGAGTATATCTGAATTTTTCCGTGTAATATTTTAGAGCATGAGCCCAGGATTTTTTAACCCAATTCCACCGTACCGTTGTTGTTTGTTTGTGTGTGTGTGTGTGTGTGTGAAAAATGTACCCCCAAAAGAGAGAGGACAGAACATTATTTTTCTCCCTCCCTCCCTCCCCTCCCCTATCCCTTTCTCTCTCCCTCCCCTCCCTCTTTCTTTTTTGAGAGATTTTCCTTTTGTCTGGTGCTTCAGCTGCCCCCCCCTCTCTCTCTCTCACATACACACCAAAGGCCATCTTGACCCCCCCACCCCACCCCCCCTTGCAGGCCCCCTCATTGTTGACTCGTCCACTTAAAACACATCAAAAAAAAATAATAATCTCAAGTTGAATCCCCTAAGAGTCTTGGTATATACTTACTTAACAACTATATGCCTTTATATACAGTATATACACCCGTCTATATTTTTAAGTACATACAGTAATCATAAGTAGAAGCCTGGGTAATATAGTATATAGTCAATCATCATCGTCTGTGTAGAAATCAAAACAAAACGAACCTGTAACCTCCCTCAAACTGATTTCACACACACACACACACACACACACGAGTCCAACATTACAGGATCGTGACGTGACATACAAGTAGAGGCTCCAGTCGGATGTCGCATTATGCTTGTTGGAGGGAAACAGAGAGACAGAGGCGGGTAACATAGCCTGAACATAGGTAGGGTCAGTGGTGGCTTAACTCGGTAAACAAAGGGAAGTGAGGGAGGGGGGGGGAAGGGGAGGGGGGGGCAGGAGGGGGAGGGGGTGAGGAGGACACTTTGGCCATCTCATGTTAACCCGTATTCTGAGGGTGAGGGGTAGGGGAGGTGGAGGGGGTAGGGAGGGTGAGAGGAAGGAAAGAAAAGAGAGAGGGGAGGGGAAGGAAGAGGAAGGAAGAGGAGAGGTGGAAATAAGGGGGAAGAGAAAGAAATGAAAGGATGGGGGAAGGAAAGGGTAGAAGGAAAGGTGGGGGAGGAGTAAAAGACGCGGGCACATCCTATCACGTGTTCTTTCCTGTAGACGTGGACACACACACAAGCAGTACCCCTACCACCACCACCACAACCACCATCACCACAACCACCATCACCACAAACACCATCACCACCTTTCTGATCTTAATTTGTTCTTACTATTTTTCATGACTGACATTTAACATAAGCTCAAGGAAATTACCACACCACCACCATGACCACACCGTGTAAAAGGCCACACAAAAATCAAAATAAACACAAAAAAACAAAAACAATACAAGAAAAATCACAACAAATAATAAAAACAAAAAATAAAAACGAGAACAAAATTAAAAAAAAAAAACAAAAAAAAAAATAAAATAAACAATGTCTTTGCCCCCTCTTAAGTCTTGCCTACACAACGAGGTAAACAAAGTCGGGATAAGAACCAACGTACGAATGGATTTTGGACGAGCTGGATTTTCTTACCGACGTCTTGAGAGTCGGATAAACCAGGTATAGCCCCCCCCTCCCTCCAAGAGATTTTTCAGAGAGTGGATAAGTGGGTAAATGGATAAATCTGGCATATACCTTCTTTTTTTTGTCCTTCACAGTTAGCTCTTTGTGGATAAATGGATTAAGTGGATAAATCTGGCATATACTGTAGCTTATTTCCTCCACAGTCAGCTATTTGTGGATTAGAAAATAAGTGGGTAAGTCTGGCAATTCAGTTAGCTATTTGTGGATAAATGGATAAGTGGATAAGTGGATAAATGGATAAATCTAGCACAAATTTTTCCTCTTCTTCACAAGTAGTTATACTGATAGGCATTTTAAATCTCTCCCCGATAAGATTCTGGGTATATACAAATTTCGATTCCATATATGGTCACCTGAAGAATCGCTACCCCGGCTATTTCACCTAAAGATCTATTTATCTTTATCTGTCTATCTATGTATCTATATATCTATCTAGCTGTATGTGTCTATCTATCTATCTAGCTGTCCAGGTGTTCACTGAGTCAACATACACACCTGTAGAGTAATGATTCACCTTTTGACCACCACCACCAAACTTGTTAATCACTAGCATAGCAGCGGCGGCAACAACATTCCCCCGCCCATCAGGTAAGGCACAGATACTCAAACCATGCAGCCCATCAGGTAAGGCACAGATACTCAAGAGCCATGCAGCCCATCAGGTAAGGCACAGATACTCAAGAGCCGTGCAGCCCATCAGGTAGAGCACAAACACCTACACTCAGAGCCATTATACATTTACCGTTAAGTGTTGCATCAGCTTAACAGTTGTAGTCGCCCACCTCTACGGTAGGTCACTCATTAGAGGTTCAGGAACAAGGGGAGGGGGAGGAGAGAGGTGGAGGAGGAGGGAGACATGTCATACACCATCCTCCTCACTGATAAGCCCCCTCCCCAACCACCACACCTGTTAAATCTCCCCCACCCCCCTCCTCTGACCACCACTAGGAGGGTATTTTATGTACCCTTGACAGCGAAATAATCATTTATTATATACCAAGTCTTAAGCTAGAAAAATACCAACCACCTAATATCAGCTCTAGATAAAAGGGAAGGGGAGGGAGGAGGTGGGGAGGGAGGGTGGAGTGAGGGAGGAGATGACCCTGTGTACACACCTGAGTAACACCAACTGGCAAAAAGTAATTACCGTCACTATACCTGGCCAGACCTACCCTATCACAGCCCCACCTCCCCACTCCACCTCACCTGAGAGACTAACACCTACCAGGCCTTGATTTATATATAACATCCAAAGTAAACAAAGAGTAAAGTGGAAGGTAACACGTGATAGTTTACCCCCTGACAGGTAACACATGATAGTTTACCCTCACTCCCTATACCCCCTTCTCCCACTCCCTATTCCCCCGTCTCCCACTCCCTATTCCCCGTCTCCCACTCCCTATTCCCCCTCTCCTCTCCCTATCCCCTCTCCCCTCCCTATCCCCGTCTCCCACTCCCTATCCCCGTCTCCCACTCCCTATCCCCCTTCCTCCTCCCCTATCCCCTTCTCCCCTCCCTATCCTTCTCCCACTCCCTATCCCCCGTCTCCCTCCTATTCCCCGTCTCCCTCCCCATTCCCCCGTCTCCCCTCCCTATCCCCCCGTCTCCCACTCCTATCCCCCGTCTCCCTCCTATCCTCTCCCTCCCTATCCCCCGTCTCACTCCCTATCCCCCGTCTCCCACTCCCCTATCCCCCGTCTCCCACTCCCTATCCCCGTCTCCTCCTCTCCCCGTCTCCTCCTCTCCCCCATCCTCCCTCCCTATCCCCCCGTCTC